TTTTTTTCCCAGCCCAAGGACTGAAATTGATTTGGATTAAAATCACAGTAATTTTTCACTTTTTCTATAGAGTGACTATAACTGTCACATTTCCATGCATGCTTCTGTGTTACCTGCAAGAATATGCCAAAATATCTACCTCTCTATCTTCAGTCAGTCCTTCAGGCTCTCCTTTTTTTCCACCCTCTGTTTGTGAAATGTGTCTTGATTTAGTCAGCCTTGAAATGAGAGCAGAATCTGATGTTGCCCTTGGTGTTTTAGTATTAGTCTGTACGGTTATTTCTGATGGATCAGTGATGGTTGGAGACCTTTGCTTTTAAGTATTTGGAGGAGGGGGGCACCAGGAGTGTTCCCATTTTACTGGAGCTCAATATGCTTGTCCCATTGCTTTGCTTCCACTGCCTTCCACCCTGTGGCATGGCAAAAGGAAATTAAGAGCATCAGTGGAGAAGAGTAGCTAGTGGAGAACTGAAAAGTTTGGAAGGGAGAAAGAGGGAGGAGAAGAAGAAAGGGGGAAAGAACAGATAAAAAAAACCTACCCTGGAAACCTAAAAGAAACTTTTGGGAGAACAGGGAAAAAATAACTTCTTTGTCTGAACCCAAATTTGTAGCTGTAGCTAAATCACAGTGAGATGGCAGATGCAACTTGTTTGGACAGCTGATGGCTGATCAGTGCTTAAAATCAAATGAGTGATGTGCCTAGTTTTTGAGGGATGGTATAAATAAGTAAAATAGTTTTTACCTCAAAGTACTAGTAACCTGTGTAGACAAAATACACACATAGGAGAGGAAAAAGCTATGTACTTTATAGAGAAGCAAGGTGCAGGGAAGCTGATGTCCTCAAATAATATGCATCATGTACCGGTAAAGTATGAAGGAGTGAAAGGTAGCGTTCCAGTAGATTTTTGCCCTCTCTTATTTGTAGGCCTCTTAGCAGCTAACTGCAAACCCCTGCTTTTATTTTCTCTGAAGCTGATTACATGGACTTTGGGTTTTTATTGAAGTTTAGGTGACTTGCAATACTCCATGTGGCTACATCATCTTTTATCATTCTGCCTTGCTGTTGATGGGCAGCCTATGCCGGCCCTCACCCAGGATTACCAGGGACAGCAAGACTAAAGTCTCTCCTCTTTCTGTATTTTGAAATAAAGGGGGTGGTCCTCTCATAGGCCTCATTGGGCACTTGGTGCTGGGAAAAGGGCAAGATGGTTTGTCTGCAGGCAGAATCACAGGGCTGTGTGTCCCCAAAGAATGATCTAACTTGCTTACCCTAAGACAGGGTCAGCCAAGTCTTTGTCATTTCTGAGAGCAGCTAGCATCTCTTTATATTGTACATATAGATACATGTTCTCATTCTAATAAAAAGATACAATATATATCATATATGATGTATACATATATATTGTGTATATATATATAAATATATTCTATTCATGTGCTTTTCTTTGTCAGAAAGGTTTTCTCACTGTATTGGTAAAGTCTTTCTTCTTACAATTTGGAAATACATTCATTTTCTCATTGCATCTTCCTTCTGAACAATTGAAGACTGTTACCTTGTCTCCCTTCAGTTTCCTTTTGTTTATATTAGATACTTAATTCATCATCTTTCTATTCTTCTCTGAATATCTTATGACTTGTCTACGTATCTCATGCAGTAGTGAAATTTGACCAAAATGTTCCTGCTGACATCCCAGTAATGGCGAGTATAGCAGAAGGCTTTCCTCACAGACCTCCCTTGCTGGCTGTCTGTTCCAGCACATTTGCTTTTTTTTGCAAGAGTGTGATATTGTTGATGCTTATCTAGCTTATTGTGTGCTGTAACCTCTAGCTCTCTTCCACAGAACTTCTGCTTAACTGGGAGAGTGCAAGTTGGGCGGTTGATGAAAGATAGAAACCTGCTTGTAAGGCTAGCATGGGATAATGAAATAGAAAAAGGAATGACAATGGCTTAGAGGAAAACTACTTGATTAAGGAAACTGTAAAAATATTTCGCTGGAAAAAAAGGACAAAACGTGGAATATTTTTTCCACAGTCACTAAAACAGATGCCAAAAGGATTTTGGCATAAAATGTGCTGAAGTTCAGTTTGGGTATCAAGGTTATAAAGTGTTTGAGGCTAGGAGATTGCCAAAGAAATGTTTTGCTTGTATATGCAAGACAGTATTCTTAATAGTATTAGTGCCAACATTTGCCTGCTTGCCCTGGTGCGTGCTGAAGTCTGTCACTTTGCAGCCCAAGTTGCTTTTCTGTGTTACCTTTTCATATTCCATGTGGAAAAAATTTCAGTTCAAGTGATCTTTGTATAAACAGTTAGATAAATTCAGTTGGGTGTTTGTGTATGCATGTTCTTGTAACAATAGTAATTTTGTACATTTCAAGAAATGGTACTTTAGACTTTTGTGGGGGCTTTTTATCCCACATATTGAATGGTACAGTTGCTTGTCTGATGACGGGAGTGGGCACCTATGCAGAGCAAGTTCTGTGATGCTTTTGGTTATTTAGAATGTGCTACACATGCACAGCAAGTTTTTGATTTCTGAAAAGAGGGGAAATCCTCACTCATTGAAACAATTTGTCTTCCAGATTGGACAAAAAACCATGGGTCTTTGTAGTGGGCTAAAATCCTGCAGAATTTCAGCACTGTATTTTTTCCAGTAATCCTAAGATTGTTTGTTCAGCTGCTTTTATTCAGTGTAGCACTTAATATGAGTATTTATAAAAAAGAGAGGCGGTTAGAACGTGGAACCTTCTTTTTCTTAAGTTCTTTGACATATACTTGTTGCTTCAAACCCCTTTCCACATTCACATTGTTGATTTTGTGTGCGTGCAAAGGAGTATGCTTGAGCACTCTCAGGAGGGATGTCAGCAGTTTGTACTGTACTCCTGAGTCAGCAGAAGTTGCTGGAAAAAGGACAGAAGTGTAGTAAGTGCTGTGGCAAATGCCGTGCTTTGCGTTATGTTCTCTGATCCCGATTATGGGTCTTAAGCCCCTACTGACAGGCGCAATCCCCTTGTTTATGGATCTGTTTCTAAATGCGTTCCTTCGGAGAGTCACACAGCTATGACTGAACCCTGGTTCATTTCAACATTTCCTCATTAGCCTGAAGGGAGCTCTCTAAAACCTGCTACCCCATGCTGCTTCCATCCTCAGCATGAAAGGGGATGGTCTCACAGAGCTGTGCATGAACCACGGGCTGGGATGAATTTGGGAGCAGGAGAGAAGGGTGCTCCATGGTGGCCGCAAAACCATGTTGTTAAATATTGGCTATATTCTTTTATAATTTCTGATCCAGCTATTACCGACTTGGCCAAGGACTGGATTGCAATCATATGGGAATGTGGGAACTTTATTTCTCCTTAGGTCTCTCACCTTAGGTTATTTTGAACCAGAAGAGCAAAAACTGAATTGAAATATATTGTTTAATGTAACATATTATTTTCACCTATGCTACAGTCTGTGTTAGGGGCTTGGGGTTGCTTTTTTGTTTTTGTTTGGGGTTTTTTTATTTATTTATTTTTAAACTAACCAGCTGAATCCACAAAAGAGTGCACTTAGTAACACTACTATGCTTCTGTCCTTGAGCATATGCACTGCTACAAAGGGACAACTACCTGTAGAATTGACCTGTGTTTCATATTTCAAGCCTCACAAGTTGGTGACTCCCTTATTTTTGTTTAGGATGTTCTGTGATCTGTGATAAAATTTTAGTTGCACAGTTTACAGAAATGACGAGAAACTGCTGTTTCCGTGTTATTTTGTTCTAAATAGCTCAAAAAGATGCTTATACAAAGCTACGGGTGCCCTACTGCATAACTAATACTACAATAAAACCATGGCATTTATATAAATAGCGTTAATATAAAGCATTAAAATACATAGTTGAAAAGGAGCCCTGCCTGTCTGCTACGTACAGACAAAATTCTGTCCTACCTTTTTATTGCTCTGGAAATGTAGATCCAGGCCTCTCCACCAACAGTTAAAAATAGATAGCTTTTGCTAAAGTCCCTCGGTTGAAATTTAAGGAAGGGTAAAAAGAGCAAGAGCAAAGAGCCAATATGCCCCTGGAGAAGTGGATGCAAGGGGCAATCAATTATTTCTTTCAGGAAGGCGGGATCTGTATCTCTTGGTTTTTGTAAAGGTACAGTAGGGTTTGAGCCATGGGTGGATCCAAGTGCAATAAAACAAATTTTGGGGTCACCCTGGTGAGTTACACAGCCACCAGCTTTTCCTGAATTTTTTGTAAAAGAACCCAAATTGCGCTCCTGATTGTGGCTGAATTGTGATTTTTTTTTGATTGGTACACAAAATACTTTTGATGCTGGAATTTAAGTTGGACGTTAACAATGATTCCTTTGTGTAGCAGTCCCTTTTGAAGTAGAGAGTCCTGTATCTACAAGAAAACAGTATGCAGAGAAATAAATTCTGCTTTCAAGTCTGTTTTTTATATATATATGTCTTATGCATCTTTTTTTACACAATGTATGCTAACATGAATATTTACATATGAAAAGGAAATAGGATTTTAAACTATTCCATTGAATATGTAAGTATCCCTGTCCTTGTTTGATGTTTTTTTCTTCAAATAATCAGCAGAGAACTTTAAGCCTTTGGCATTTCACTCCCATCTTACACTAGTTTTCAGTAATTTCTTCTTGAGTGCTGATACTTGGTTCTGTCGTAGCTATTTGATACTAAAGTTTCTCGGAGAGCTTTCATATCCATATTCACTGCTCAGAAACTGCCTCTGCTTTTTTGAGGTCCCCATCTTAATTTCTATGACAACATTGCCTAAACCATTTCACATATTAATTTCTTGTTTTGGATAGAAAACCAGTGGTGTTCTCAGCTGTGGCTGAAAGCCCCAGTGTGATATCCAGCAGCTCCATGGCAGGGCTGTGACCTGATGAGAAGCTCTTCCCCAGGCTGGTCTGAGAACATCAGTAATGGTGATGGTTGCCTCTCCTGAACCCAGTTTATCACTGAGCACAAGGGAACCATCCAGGCGCTGTAAACGCAGCCACCTCTGGCCCATCCCAGGCTGCATTGCCTCGTGTCATGCAGTGCTGTTGTTGGTTATTAAAGGCATCTACGCCCTCATGTTGGCAGCCTACTAGACTATCTTCTTCCAGCTGAGCCTCAAGGCTTATTCCATCAGAGCTCAAGAGAGATGTGCCTGCCTTAGCTGTGTGCTGATGCTGTCAGTCAGATGGGGTGATATGGAGTAACAGGCCACTCTTGTGCCTGATTTAAGGGTCCCAATAGATCCTAGTTCAGAAGAGTGATGTGTGTGGCTGCCACTGGGCAACGCGATTGAAACCGCTCCCTGAGGACAGTGAGAAGAGTGCTGTTTGCGAGTTGCCCACAGTTGGAGCCGTGACAATGATACACCAAGAACTTGTAATGAATCTTATGAGTCATTCCATTGCTGTTTGACATCTCTGTTTCCTTTAACCTAGGGCTCAGAGGGAGCCCAGAAACTCCTTCCTTCTTCACTTTCATGAGGAACACACCTCTGTGTGGTCTGGGCAGGCAAGGCACTTGTTGTAGAGAAGAACCTTGATTTGGAACACCACACAGAAATCCATCCTGGAGAACCAGCATTAGCAGAGAGCGAACAGCCATTCTGTTGTCATCTTCCAAGAAGTAACTGCAAAGTTGTGTCATAAATACTTGCGTCTCTGATCGTCACTGCAGAACGCGCTGTGTGACAGACGGCCTTGCTTAGAGGTCTGTATCTTAGAGATTGCACTGAGTCATATGGTTGATTATCTAAATGTAAATAATAATTGAGACATGTTAAAATTTGAATTTCATTAGGTGGAGGCTTTTAGACTTGAGCAAATGAATTATTTTTTTCATAAAACACTGTAACGTGCTTACTAGCTTTGACAAAGAGTTTTTTCCCGTGATACAGAGATAGCAGATAATAATAAGCAGACAAGGTTATGCAACAAGGGGATATTTTAATCATCTTTGTTTTGGAAAAGACAGGCCAGAGTGAGGTACCTCTTAGGAACAATCTACTTCACTGATACTTTTCTTCAACAGATTGACAGCATCTCAGAAAAGAAAATAACTGTTTGCTATTCCTATTGTAGACTTCTTTCAATCACTGCGACAGATGTTCCAAGCATGTTGTTCCTCAGTTAGGTTTCTTTAGTAGTAAAAATACTGCGGTCTAAATATAGTTTAAATTGGTTGAGGTACCTTGTTTGAATATGATTCAAAATTGCATTATACCTAGTTTAAATCACAGTGTAACAGGACAAAAACACTGGAAAGACTAGTTAAGATTGTTTCAAACTCAGGTAGGACTTTTTATTCAATCATATTTAAAGTGGTTCCAAAGTGCTATGTTTTTCTAGCATATCTTGCAATCTGACTTAGGATAAACACTAGATAGCATAGTGAACTCCCCTCCCCCTGTTCATTATTTGGAATTACCTTGGCTAAAAATGGGAAAAGTACTTAAATAATTCTCTTTTCCTGTATCTGCCATGATGTCTTGTAACAGCTGTATATTGGGAATACTCAGATTTTATTATCCTTTTTCTTTTTCAATAAAACGAAGTTTAGCATTCAGGAACAGTTCAAATGGCTGGATTAAGAGGGAAAACCAATACACATGTACAATGTACCCATTATTCCTTTGGAGAATTGGGAGTTGAGAAGGCTATGGCCCTTATGACCCCCCTTTCCTCTGCCAGGGAGTTCCAGTTCAAAGCTGTTCTGTCATCTCTCCTGCTGACTTGCTTCTGGAGGCCACTCGGAGACCTAACAGGATAGTGCAGGCTGAGTTCTGCTGAATGTGTTGGTGTTAAATAGCTCCTCCTTTTTACTCTCCCCCTCATTTTTTATCTAGATGACTGGTTGTTGCTCATGAGACCCACTTTTGGAGACCACTGGGTTGGGAGCACAGCTGCCTGCCTGGAATTGGGTCACGGTGGTGTGACAGTAACTGCACTGGCGTGCGTCCCTTACAAGTGCGATTCCAGTCAGTGACGTTGATCAGGGGGAACGAACGCTCTTGTTTGGATACCGGCTAGCTAAAGCTTTCTGCTCCCTCTTTTTGACATCTGGCATGAGGACATGTATACAGATGAAGTTGCTAAATTGTGGTGTCTGGGACAAGGTGCTCTTTCGGTTCCAAAAATGAAGAGTAAAGCAACAAAGTTCAAGGTTTATTTCGTCACTTGGACTTTCACTCCAGTGGAAGAGATTGGGATTTCAGCTTTAGAAAATGGAGATCTTCAGTTTGTTATCTATTTTTTTTCATTACTAGTTAACTTCTTAATAGACTGTTAAAATAATCCTCCAAGGAGGAAGTAAAAGTGGGGAGATGCAGGTGCAGTGATCTCCAGTCCATAATGACTGAAAACAGTTAGAAACCTTCATTTTGTGCTTATTTTGGGGGGAGGAGAGATAAGCTCACGTGGTAATCACATGCTGCCAGGTCATTGCAAGGAATCTGGTGGCAGCAGAAATGCTCTCTTCAAGGTCCTGCTTCTGTGGGAAAACTCACTGGTAGTTCACTTGAGCATCCAATTTTGAGCCTTCACAGAAGAGAGTGGTTCACATATGCTTTGTCCTGAAGCCATTTGGGCCCTGCTATGATCTCACGTAAGGAGATGTTTTCTTCTAGGTTTGTTTTACAAATTTGGAGTTAGGATCATTCATATTGATCTTTCTTTTTATTTGGTTTCAAGAGCTTCTCTGTGCAGCAGTGAAGATTGTAGCTGTTCACTTACTAATTTCGTTATGGTACTTTTGTTGATTTAGTCCTCATAGGTATTTAAGCTGTGAGAACAGTGGGAAAGACTTTGAACACCTAATTTTTCTCTGGTTTTGTTCATGTGATTAAACAGAAGTCCTATAGCATTCTCCCAAGGAGGCACTTTGAGTAATTTTACTATCCATGGGCAGCTGAATGCACTTTCAGGGTTTTTTTGCAGCATGATCCTGGCCTTCTCTTAATTGTTTCTATGATGATTTTTGTTTGTTTTTTAATGAAAGAGTGAAAGAGTTCTTGAGGATTTCAACAGGCAGCCTGGGGAAGTGGTTGAGTCTCCATCCCTGGAGGTATTAAAAAGACGTGTATATGTGGCAATTGGGGACATGGTTCAGTGGTAGCACTGTCTTAGTGGTTGGACTCAATGATCCTAGAGGTATTTTCTAACCTAAATGATTAAATTACTCTAAGATCTGCTACTTCTTGGGTTTGCTTTCCTGTTTGAAGAGCTGAGTGAGGCACGTAAGAACAGTTGTGGCATCAAGGTTTCAAGCTTCATCTCTTTTGTCCAACTCCCATGCCAAGGTATACGAGCATGGTGAGACCTTTATTTCCTGAAAGGTAGATTGGTCATACAGTGACAGACATCTGAGATAACTCTTTATTTCTTTGTCCTTACCTATTTATAACAACAAGGTTTCCAGCAAGATGGTACTCCCTTTAGCTCAGGATTTAGCAGGGCAAATTACTGCAAGTGAGAAGAGGCAAAGTTTCTTGGAGATGAATGCAGTAAAGGTTGTCCTGCCTGCCCCATAGCATTTGGATATAGCTAATAAGAATGGGAAACACCTTGACCTTAATGTAACCTTCTGCCCCGGTACTTTGCCATCTGTCTCCAGAAGTGCAAGAGGAGATTTGCCTGCTTCTCACAAACTCTCCTACCAAGGTTGTCTCCCAGAAAGGGAAAGAGTTATGTAACAGTGTTTTCTTTCAAAACTGTATGTTATAGAATTCAACCAAGACCCTGCTTTTAGCTCCAGTGGAAGTCTAAAACTGGCAAAAACATTTTCCAAGGTTCTTTTTTATATGTGTATAAAGAAACTTAAGGAACCAATAGTTTAGTATGCGGGGCAGAATATTCCTAAATGACAGCAAGGAGAAAGGTTTTCAGGAAGAGCCACAACATCCGATTCACTAGTTAGTGAGCTCTTCAACAGGCGATACAATTTCTTTGTCAGAAATCACCAGCGGAGAGCTCGGAGGAGAGGCAGTGTGCTGTGAAACAGAAACTGAGCCCCTTTCAGCTATGATACCTCCCTGTTGAACATTAATGAACTGTAGCGGCTATATGTAAGGTTTGTGGCTTGTTACATATGCTTAGCTTGTCAAAAGTTTCTCGGGGCATTAAGGGCAGGCAGTGTCATTTGTGCAATAGGCAAAGCTCTCTGCCTGTGGATGTTACAGTGACCTTACTTGAACTGATAAATAGCTGTCTTATCCATGACCTTTAATAGCTAAAATGTATTCACCATTTACAGCCTTTTTATGGTTTGCTTCGAAACGTATGCATTGCTGTGTGATCCTTTCTGGCTTGTAACAGCACATCAAGGAATTCAAGAGTTTAGGAGTAGCAAAGCAATCACTTTTCCATGTACTCTCTTTCTTCCTCATGAAAGGCGCTCATTCATAGGGATGCATGGTGTTGTACAGCCTGTTATCTTAAAGAAAAAAAAAATTAAACAAAACACGACAGAATGTAATGTTGGGTTTTATCCTCTTAATGTAAAATAAGACTTACTTTCTGTTTGCATTTTCTGGTTTAATTTGAAAGAAGACAGAGATGATATTAAAATATAATGAGGGCGATTCATTTTGTGGTTCACAGTGGCTCGGATTTAGAAGAAAAAAAACCCCACCTTAATCAGCACAGTACTTAAGGGCTCCCTGTAAGAACATTGTGCTTAACCTTCAGCAAATGCTTATGGGCTGCCCTGAATAGTAATGGGTTTAAGCACATGCTTAAGTGTTTTCCTGAAGGAAGACCTAAGCATCTTGGCAAGTGTTACATTACGGCTTCATTTACCTTTATCATAAATCCCAGCATCAGAGGCAAACTTTTCTTTCATCTCTTGGCAGATATTGGGGTGTACAGATTTTTCCACCTCCGTTTGGCCTGCTTTCTATTGCTCTCTTGCTGCAACCTGATCAGTCCAGGCTGACCTTCAGGGGTGCTCCACATGGGCTGGGGAGCCTGCCCCCATGGCTCCGATTGCCCGATCAAAGTCTGCACTTTGCCTTTCATCTGCCGGCTCTCTGCCCTTCCCAGGGTTATTAATTTGAAGAACTTAAAGACGCAACCTTTTTCTGCTGCGCCCGTTCCCGGGGAAGTAGGAATGAGAATTGCGTGTTCTCCAACGGCTTTGCTGTGGTCAGTTTTCCATGGTGGGAGATGGGATTGGTGCGGGTTAAATCTGCACCAGCCGGTTCTTGGTTAGCTGTCGGAAATGAAAAAAAAAAAAAAAAAAAGAAAGGAAGAAAAAACCAGCAAACCAATCCCATAAAAACGGGGGGAAGGGGGAAAAAAAGGAAGGAAAAAAAAGGGGGGGGAGAATAAAAATGGGAGAAACAAGAAAAAAGAGGGGGAAGGAAAACGAAATAAAATAGTAGAAAATTGGGGAGAAAAAGGGGGAAGAAAAAAGGAGAAAATAGGAGTACAAAGGAAAAAAAGAAAAAAGGGGAAACAAGAATAAAGGAAAACAAAATGAAAAAGGGGGGAAAGGAAAGAAACAAAAATGGAAAAAAATGAAAAAAGAAAAAAGTTTAAAAAAGAAGACAAAAATGAAAAAGGGGAGAAGGAGTAAAAAAGGGAAAAGAAAAAATATCAAAGGAAAAGAGAAAAAGGTAAAATGGGGGGGGGGAAGGAGAGAAAAAAAGGCAAAGGGGGAAAAAAAAAAGAAAGGAAAAAAGGAGAAGGGAAGGAAAAACGAAAAANGGAAGGAGAGAAAAAAAGGCAAAGGGGGAAAAAAAAAAAGAAAGGCAAAAAGGAGAGGGGAAGGAAAAACGAAAAAAAAAAAAAAAAGGATAAAAACCCTCAAACCAACCAAACTGCACACCCCAAGGCAAACAAAACCCCAAGACTGAAGAGCACCGGGGAGAGCCGGGGCCCGCAGGCTGCTCCGGGCTCTCCCGCGGGGGCCCAGCCTGCCGGCAGGGCCGGGCGCGCTCCTCTTGCGTAAGCGGCGGCCCCGCCGTCTTCCCGCTGGCTGCCGTTGCCATGGCGAGATAGCGGGGGAGGATTCCTGGGATCCGTAAACCGGGGGAGAGAGAGAGAGAGATTACGTCTTAACCCGGCACTCCGCTGCGCCTAACGTGATGTGTCAGGGTCGCCCAGGTGTCCCGGGGGAGGGTGACCTGGCGGGCGGCCCCGCACTGTTGCAGGCATCGTTTTAAATAAAATAAAGCTGGGGAGGGAGTCGGGGGTGGCTCTCGGGGTAAGAGGATTAGATGCGTTCGCATGGGGGCTAGGATGAGGAAAATATCGCAAGGCTTGAGGGAAGTGGGTTTGAGGAATTGGCCTCAATGGAAATGGGAGGCATCCGTGTTTATGAACATTCCTAGTGCCTGCCGAGAACTGCCTGGCAAGTGGTAGAAGGGGATTCTTTTTATCTTCATCTCCATATTCTATTATCACGGTTAGTTGTCCGTGTTTTATTTGCAAGCTGTGCACAATAAACACATCCTGAGAATCTCTAAGCAGCGACTCCAGATATCACCCCTATGCTGATATCGAGCCTAGATCAAATCATTGACAGATGTCTTTTACATGAATGGAAGGAATGACAGAAGAAGGCATCACTGTCTGCTTGGGTAAGTTTTCTTTCCGTTATCTTTAATTATTATTAGTGTTTTACACTGTCTCTTCCTTAGTGTCAGAACGGGAACAGTCAACACTGGTGGGGTCTTCTTGTGCTTTTGATCTTCTTGCTACTCTTTGCCTGCTGGAATTCCTGGAAGCAGATGAGAATTTACTGAGTCCTGTCACTGTGTTCTCTTGTCACTGCAAGGATGTCATTAGTGCAGGCAAAAACTTTATAAATTCTGATATTCGATTTTAAGTTTGGAAAAGATGATGTCTGGTCTAGAAGAGAGTATGAAAAATACTGGGCTGCAAATTACTGTGTTGTAAACACGTTTCTTAAGAGAAAAACTCTGCCTGGGTTAATAATAATATCCATTGCCAGAAAACAGATGTGTGTGGGGAAAAAAAAAAATCTTAAGTGAATTTAACATTCTTAAACAGTTTTACGGTAGTGGGATAAGAAATGTGTTAGGATGTAAGAGAGTACACTACTGGGAAATGAGCTTGCATTACACCCACAGAGCATTTACTGTACATTAGTTATAACCCTGTTGTTTTTGTTGCCTGCAATTAATTGAGTAATTTCTTCCATGACTGAAACTGCAGGTTAAGCATGTTTGCTTTGAAAGCCAGTCTTCTGAATCGAGACGGCTTTTACACTTACCGTATTAACAAGCTCTTGCAAAGTACATTTTGTGCACTATGGTTATGAATTCCTGAAAGGTATTGGTGGGGGTTAATTCACTGTTACATAAACAGCCAGTAACAGCTTTTGATTGTACTGGAATTGCTCTAAAATAGTTATTAGCTTCAAGGCTATAATAATGTTTTGCAAATATTATTTGTATGAAAAAGACAGAAATGGACTATAAGAACTTTAAAGCACTGAATTGAGGACACTGATGTATACATAGGCAAAGCTGTAGTGTAGCTTAACCAGTGGGTTTTACAGCTGTGACGAGATCTGTATTTCCCAGTTGTACTTAGAACCCAACAAATTCATAACCAAACCAGTTTCCCAGAAGCCAAGTA